CTTACATTTTGGTAAAACATCAGTCATTCAAATGTTATCACATTAATTTTGTCACTTACCCTTAAATGAAATCAGCCTTGTGAAGTAGTCAATTGTGTTGTCATTGCTGTTGTTAATTCAACAAATGAGGATACTGAGACCTGGGGGTGGAAATTCAAGATAGTAAGTGGGAACTGGGCCCAGGTTTTTCGTGTTTTCCCACCCATACATCAAATTTGGAGGATTTGGGGTCACAGTGCATATTTCAGTGCATGGTTAGAGTCAAAGTAGTGAAAAATTATCACAGATGTGATGCTTCAGCTATTGTATCAAGGATTTGGAAAAAGAACTGATGCCAAATTGTAGAAGATATTATAGATTTGTTTTGTGTTAAAAAACAAAATTCAGCTATTAAACAGTTCGTGAATTGGGCAGCATCCCACCTAGTAAGTACAGGGGAACCCCAAGGAATTGTACCAAATGGAAGGTATTTATGGGTAGGAGGCAGGGGCAAGAAAGTTAATTAGCAAAAGGAAAGGATTGTTCCTTAGAGGGAAGAGCAGAGTGTCTTATCATAACAGATTATCTCATCTTCCCTTGGGGAATGGGGAGGGTCCTGGTGGCAGACTCAGTGGCACCCATTAGAAAATTCCTCATGACCAGTTAAAACTACATTTCTGGGGAAGATTGAAACTGCAGTTAGACTACATATAAAGCTTTGGGAACTTGGCCTAAGTGACACCATTCAGGGCCTCTGGTTTTCTTTTTAAGAAAAGACCAACTTTAGACCTTGGCTTTAGACCAACTGAAATAACTTTACAATGTTTGTTTGAGATTTTTTAATGTTTTTTTTTTTTTTTTTTTTATTTATTTCTAGGAGAGAGAGAGAGAGAGAGAGACAGCGTGAGCAGGGGAGGGTCAGAGAGAGAGGGAGTCACAGACTGAAACAGGCTCCAGGCTCTGAGCTGGCAGTCAGCACAGAGCCCGACGCGGGGCTCGAACCCACGAACCGCGAGATCATGACCCAAGCGAAAGTCGGACGCTTAACCGACTAAGCCACCCAGGCGCCCCTGTTTGAGATTTTTTAAATAGAGGGGATTGCCTTTACTTAAATAAAGGAATTACATTTCTCTTTCTTTTCTATCTTTCCTTCTTTTCTGTCTTTTTTTTTTTCCCCCTTTCTTCTGTTTTTCCCCCTATGGTCTAGTGTCTAACTGGCTATGAATATTTTGGGGGTATTGACAGGTTATTTAGACTTGACATTCTTCACAAGTTGCTGACAGAAATGTGTTGCTGAGTTTGCTCTTCTGAACAATGAAAAGTGAGTGTAGAAGAAGATGCATAATTTATGATAGTAGTAAAGAACTTTAAGTTTTGACTTGAATTTAATAATTTGCTCTGAAGGCATGAAATGTCTGTTTAGAATACCAAAGTTTGATGTTTTATTAGCTTGAATCTTAGGACTTGGGAAAATTAAGTTAACAGTATTCTGTAGTCTGACTCTAACTTGATAATGCTAGCATTTTTCTTTTCCTAGGGTTAAGATTTAAGAAGTGGTTGTATTACCAGAGCAGATGTTCTACTTTAACTACAAGCCCCTGTTTTTCCCAGAAGTTATCAAATTACTTATCAAAGATGTGGACTATCAGGGTGTCTCGCTGGCTCAGTCAGTAGAGCATACAACTCTTGTTTTCAGGGTTGTGAGTTTGAGCCCCACTTTGTAGAGATTACTCAAAAAAAAAAAAAAAAAGAAAGAAAGAAAGAAAGAAATGTAGACTATTTTGCACCAAGTGTATAAACCTGTCTTTTCTTTTCAAGGAACTGTATTGACACCAAATCACTTTGTTCCCTTGGTGTTGATATTGCCTAGAGATTTACTCTTTCTCTCATGATTTCTGCATATTTGGTATTTGCTTTCTTAACCTTAATCTCCGTCTCTGCCTATGAAATTTAAATGCATGAATAAATACATACCATTTGCCTGAATGTGTTGTTTTTAACTTCTTGAGTTATTTTTTAACTTTAAGCATCAATCAAGAATTTATTAAAATCTTTCTATCTCCTTGTGATTTATTAAAACTATGCAATTAAAACAGCAAAATATATTCAATCTAGGGGAATCATGGAATACAGTTTAGAATAGCAATGCCTCTTTGGTCTCTAGCACTTATTCTTTTTTTTTAATTTTTTTTTTAACGTTTTATTTATTTCTAGGAGAGAGAGAGAGAGACAGCGTGAGCAGGGGAGGGTCAGAGAGAGAGGGAGTCACAGACTCTGAAACAGGCTCCAGGCTCTGAGCTGGCAGTCAGCACAGAGCCCGACGTGGGGCTCGAACCCACGAACCGCGAGATCATGACCTGAGCGAAAGTCGGCCGCTTAACCGACTAAGCCACCCAGGCGCCCCTGGTCTCTAGCACATATATTCCTCTCCTTGGTTTTTGTCTTCGTTTTGGTTTTGTTGGTTTGTTGTTATTGTTGACACATTTGAAAGAAAAAGAAAATAGCAAGAGCAAAATGATTTTTATTTTTCTATTGGCCTTATTAGACTATAAAGTATTAGAAGGTTTAAAGAAAGGAAAGGACCTATTTGTGTGTTTGTGAACACTTAACAAGTTATATTTTATAATTACCAATATCATTATAGAAGTTACTGAGAAGGACCTTGGGAAAGTGATTTATCTCAGAACTACAGTGTCAGGGTGCTACACCAAGGGTCAGCAGACATTTTCCTGAGGAGCCAGATGGTAAATATTGTAGACTTTCTGGGCCATAGAATCTCTGTTCCAACTATTTAACTCTGCTACAACTCCTCAATTGTGCCATTGTAGTGTGAAAGTAGGTGACAGAGCTACAGATTGGAAGTAAATAAATGGGCTTGGTTGTGTTCCTGTATAAATTTATTTACAAAAACAGGTGGTAGGCCTGCCAACTTACGTTCTTTAGCAGCCTAACGAATAATATTCATAAACAACAATGTGTTTATGCAATTCTTTGCTCCACAAAAACACTTTTTATTGTTGAGGAGAACTTGCGAAATCATAGAGGAACAGAGGACTTCCTATTTTAAAACGATCTAGGAGATTGTACATAAATATTTTCAGGTAATGCAATATGCTGGTTGGAATTTCCTTTAAGAGACTGTGTGGGGAAAAAACTAGGTTGATATAGATGAACCAAATTTGAGAAAATGTTGGTAAATATAGAAGTAGGTGATGGTAAATGGAAAAAATTCATCACACTGTGCTCTTTACTTCTTTGTATGTTTTGAAATGCACATGTTAGAAAGTTACTATTTAAGTAAATAATGGCCTGGTAAAGGCAGCAATTTTTCCCTTCTCTTGAAATAACTTTAAAATAAGAAAGTGAGTAAGAAAGCAAGCTCCATCTTGAGCACAACCAGAGAGATCTCTGCAATCCTAAAGCACAATATATGAAAAAAGGTTTACCAGATCCAATGAAGATCAAGTACATATGTGAGAGGACCCTGAGAGTTCCACATCCCCAACAAAGCCAAGAGAGCTCAACTGAGGTTGGCCTTAGTTTCCTCCAAAGCAGCATTCAACACTAACACTTTAACTAATACTTTCCTCAAAGAAAGATTTATTTAAGGATTTTATACCAATCCAAATAATCCTTTAATGCAAAGGCAAAGACATTTTTTAACATGCCAAGTTTCAGGGGACTTTATTCTCATGAGCCCTGCTTCTACAGGATGAAATTCAGCCAACCAAGACATGAAAGGGGGAAACTATAGTTAAAGTATTGGTAGTGAGCATAGAATCCACTGCTCTATAAAATTAAGACATAGCCCCTGTGAATAAGAGGGGACTACTGTATTTATATTTTTAGTAAATGTCAGTCTCATACTTCGGCATGTTTTCTTAAATTGGAAGGAGGTGGGGAATTGAAGTTCACATGAAAGCTATAAAGTCTGTTATGCATCATGGTTTTGTTAAAGTACGTCTTATAGAGTCCTAAATGATTTTTCTTTCAGGGCTGATGGAATGGAATATAATATCTGGCTCAGAGGCAGATATTATGTTTTAGTTAGTTAATGCCTTCCTTTAATACTTTCTGTGACTGAGTAGGATACCTCGGGGACTCAGTTGGTTAAGCATTTGACTCTTGATTTTGGCTCAGGTCATGATCTCACAGTTCACTTTGTGAGATGGAGCCCCACTTCGGGCTCTGTGCTGACAGTGTGGAGCTTGCTTGGGATTCTTTTTTCCCTCTCTGTCTCACCCCCACCCCCAACTTGCACGCATATGCACTCGCACCCTACCTCTCTGAAAATAAAGAAATAAACATGAAAAAATTTTAAAAACACTTTCTATAGATGGGAGAGTAAAAGGTACAAAGGGATAAATTAATCATTTGACAAGTTAGAAACATATTTAATATTCTTTTTGAAACTTAATTGTGAGAAACTAAATTCCACACCTAAATTTTAAATGGCACTACTCTTTGAGAACGTAGTAAGATTGTGAGTGATTTCCTTCTTAAATTTAGAAAAAGGAAATTATTAGGTACTCAAGGAGTGAGGCTGCCTGACCAAATTAAAAATTAAAAAAAAAAAAGGGGGAAGTGAACAGAAAGATTTCTACCCAATAACAGCAAATTTGTGGTACAACTACTTAATAGCTGGCTTACACCTAGTTATGAAGAAAATGCATGTCTAAACCCTAGCAAGAAGGGGAAGAACAAAAGCTTGGTTTTTGACTTGATAGCCCTTAAACCAGTATTAAGTATTTAAAAAGTAGATGAATAAACAGTTTGTGTGATATGTGTGTGTGTGTGTGTGTAAATATGTTTGTTATAAACTCTTGAAAACAAGCCAAAATGTTCATCACTATTGTCTTAGGATGGTGTGAGTTTGAGAGACTTCTTTAAACTGTCATTTTTAAACTTTTCTACAAAGAATTCATATTACTTAAATAATCAAAAAGTTATTAATTGTATACATTCAATTTCACATTTGTCACTCTGTCCTGACAGTGGATGTTTCTTTTTGTGTTTTCTAGGTGCACCAGAGGCTCTCTTCCTGGCAGAATTTGGGAGTTGTTTATTGCAGTACTGTTGTGCCCTCTGATGGTGAGTTTAGGCAAATCCATTTTTTGTGTCTAATTTTTTTTCTTCACTCAATGTTTCTCATTCTCTAACTAATATGCAAATTTATGTATCATACTCTTTCACTTCAGATGGACTTGGAGTCAGAGAGAGAAGTGGGGGGAGGCAATGCTAAAGAAGAGAAAGAAAATTTGAATGAAGATGTAGTGAATTTAGAGGAGAAATCAGAAAAGCTAATAGACCCATCAAGTTTTCATAGATCAAGGAGTATTAATATCTCATCTCTTCATTTATGTTTTAAAATCGGGGACAAAGGGAATGTGAAGATCACAGAAGCACCATCTTTGGTATTTCCTCACCGTTGGGTCTTCAGATTATGGATCATGATCAAACTCTCCGGCCCTGATTGTTTTTTCCTTCCCTTCGACTTGGGCTGTATTATCCTTCTTTGATGTGGGAAAGAAAGAACAGATGCTTGGGGACCGCATGCAGTCCTTTGTCAGAGTCCATAATGCTCAACAGGATGGAGGCTGCTATTGTTACTGGAGTGGAGGGATATGTGTATAACCCTTCCTGTCATTTCTCTTACTCAGTATTGGACACTTGCAGTTTATATTGTTTGCTTAGTAGGGTTGAGTGTTAAATGTATTTCCTCTGCATAAAATTTCGTTTGATCGAATTCTAATTTCAACCTTGTAAACATTAATTTATAGGCAAAGCGACCATCAAAAGAACATCTAGCACAGTTAAAAACACCTAAAGTGAAGAAATCTCAGCAGAATTTTTAAAGTCCTAGGATCCCCCTGTTATTGATCAAAATAGATATTTAGAGTGTTACCAGAACCCTCCACCCCAAAGCTGTTTACATTTAATGCAGTCGCTGTTATCCAGTATGGAAGTATTTCAGTAATGTAACAATGGTACGGTTGTACTGGGGTATCTGGTTGAATATTATTCCAGGACATATATGCTAGTAGGTTGCCTATATGTTGCATAAAGGGTTGAAGGCAATATTTCTGCAAAAGCTGAAGGCATACATAGTTTTAAAAAAAAGTGTGGCTCCCCAGATTCCAACCAATACTATTGTCCTTCTTAAGAAAACCAATTCATATTAGTTATCAAGAAATAGAGGCACATAATTGGTTTAATGCAACTCATTGTCCTTACTGTCCTCAAATTATACATCTTTATTATTTTTACTTCTAAACTAATTTTACCTTAGGTCTATATAGTATATGAGAAAACTCTGCCTAATACACAGCTACTTCAATAGAGTTTAGTCAGCCATCTCTATGATCATTCGTTGCTCTTAGTTGAGACTGCTGGATCCTATTCTTTATCAAATCATTTTTAAAAAGTACAAAATCTAAAATAACACATTATATTTATATACCTAGTGTATATGTTACCTCTCAATAATTGCATATTAATTATGTTGTGTGACAGATCTTCTATTTATGACTATAATAGCACGTGTAACAGATATATATTATTTTTAATGTCCCTTACCAAAGCAATCTAAAGGTTCTTAGGTTTTCTTATATCACAAGTACTTTTAAAGATCTGGTGAAAGCTCTAGACTCTTTCTTTAGTAAAAAATTATGTGTGTGTGTATACACACACACACACACACACAGGTAATATTACACATAATTTCTTAGTGATAAAGACTCTCTCAAACCAACTCATGGACTCCCCAGTCTGATGGCCCCTCAACTTGAGAACTGCTTTAGATACATTGTATACAGGTGCACAGGTACATGCCTGTATCTGTGTCCATGTTCCCTTTCGTGAGAGGCATTATGCTTTGAGGTTAAGTAAGAGACAAGCTTTGGAGTCAAGCAGATCTAGGTTTACAACCCAGTTTCACTGTTTAACCACCTTATAACCTTACTCAAGGTAATTAGCTTCTCACAGCCTCTTTTCTCATCTGCGAAATGGAGATAGTAATAGTTACCACCTCTGAGATAAAAACATACTTACCCTGCAGAAATAGTACTTATCTACCAGAACCACTTACTCTATAAAGAGTGCTTTTGGTAGTGTTAAAGACCTCTAATCTAAAAACCGTGGTTTGGGGCTTCTCATTTTAATTTCTCTGTGCCCCTGATCCTCAACTATAAAACGACCAACCGCAAAATTTTTATGATTGTATTGTTTGTACCTACTTAAGCTCTCCAAAGCCTTGTTTATACCTACTTAAGATTTCCAAGCCTTTAGGGCGTTCCTCTTCACAGTAATAAAAGTTAAAGATGAGAGTAATTCTGCTATAGACAGGTTGAATGTATAATTTGTCATCCAATCCAGGATACTTTTGAGAATGAAAAGGGGGCAACCAGAGTTTTCCTGACAAATTTTAATAGTGTAAGCCAGGACATGTCGTCCACTAAGCTTTAGTGTGAGTGTTAAAGGTGAGCTAGGGTAACAACAAGGGAAATCACCTCTTCTAGATGCCGTCCTTTCTCTATCCAGAATGTAATGCCACTCAGTTAACCCTGTTCTGAGAATTGTGGTAGAGAGTTGTGTTTATTTCGTAGTTTACAAAAGATGTGAGATTTTCTTACAAATTGTTTGAGAGCAAATAATTTTAGTAATGAAGGACTATTGAAAATTCCTGTTTAATAATAAATAATCATCTGTTTAATCAACACAAGTATAGATAACCTATAAATTCTTAACCTAAGGTCTATGGATGGTTTGGAGAATTAGGTATTACCCCAACTTTTTCTTTGGTTTTTGTCCTGTTACTTTTTTAAGTTAAAAAATTTTTTTTTTGATTTTTAAAAAATATCTTGGGCCGGAGGGGGGGGCGGGGGGAGGTGGATCCCAAGCAGGCTCCACCCTCTCAGTGCAGAGCCCAACTCAGGGCTTAATCCCACAAACGGTGAGATCATGACCTGGGCCAAAATCAAGAGTTGGATGCTTAACCAACAGCCACCTAGGTGCCCCTGTCCTGTTGCTTTTTTTTAAAGCTTTATTGAGAAATGTTTTGCATATCATAAAATTCACCTATCATTTCATAGTATCATAACATAATCCAGTGTTGAACTACTTCCTTCACTCCTAAAAGTTTCCTTGTTCCTGTTTTGCAGTCAGTCCGTTCTCCCATCATGTGCCCCAGGCAACCACTAATCCACCTTCTGCCTCTAATAATTAAATGTTTTCCAAAAATGTCATATAAATGGACTCCTACAATATGTAGTCTTTTGCATCTTGTTTTACATATCATACATAGTGCTTTTGAGGTTTATCCCTATTGTAGATTGTAGTGGGTGTTACAACTCTTTTCTTTATTTTTATTGCTGAGAAGTATTTTGGTATATGGAAATATCACATTTTGTTTATTCACCAGATGAAAGATATTTGGATTGTTTTCCATTTTGGCCTATTAATACTGCTGGTGTCAACATTTGCTTATAAGTCGAGGTGAACATATGTTTCCGTTTCTCTTAGGTACTTAGTGGGATGGCAGGGTTATATGGTATATGCTTAACTTTTTAAGAAATTGCGAAACTGTTTTCCAGAGTGGCTGTTATCACTTTGCATTCCTCCCAGCAACGTATCAGTGTTCCAGTTTCCCCATCTCCTTCCCAACACTTGTTTGGATTAATCTTCTTGATTTTAGATATTTTAGTGGATAGGTAGTATTATTTCATTGTGGCTTTAATTGGCATTTCACTGATGACTAATGATGTTGAGCATCTTTTTATTTATTTTTATTTTAGAGAGAAATTGTGCGAGTGGGTAAGAGGGGCAGAGGGAAAGAGAGAATCTTAAGCAGGCTCCATGCGGGGAGCTCAATCCCATGTGGGGCTCAATCCCATGACCCCCTGCGATCATGACCTGAGCTGAACTCAAAAGTCAGATCATCAACCAACTGAGCCACCCTGGCATCCTGTTGAGCATCTTTTAATGTGTTTATTAACCATGAAAATATTTTCTTTAGTAAAGCATCCAAATTTTTGCCCAATTTAAAAATGTTGACCATCTTAGTAGTGATTGGTAAGGATTCCTTATATATTCTAGAGCTTTTTCTGTTGCTTTTCTTTTCTTTTCTTTTTAAATGTTTTTATTTATTTCTGAGAGAGAGAGAGAGAGAGAGAGACAGTGTGAGCAGGGGAGGGTCAGAGAGAGAAGGAGACATAGAATCTGAAGCAGGCTCCAGGCTCTGAGCTCGCTGTCAGCACAGAGCCCGACGCAAGGCTCAAACCCACGAACCGTGAGATCATGACCTGAGCCGAAAGTCGGTCACTTAACTGACTAAGCCACCCAGGCGCCCCTCCTGTTGCTTTTCAAATAGTTTGGGGGAAAAGAAAGATTTGTTTGAGTCATCTTACTAATGGCCATTTTTATACATATTTGGAAATTCTGTCTTTTTTTCATCACCGTATTGAGGGCATAAACTACCTCAGCACTGTGTTTCATTCCAACTGTTTGAAAACTTGACAACAAAAAAGAAATGAAGGTAATGAAACCACTTAATTGCCAAAGATGCTAGAAGACAAAGCTTTGGTGTTTTAATGTGGGCAGAGTTCTCACCAACCTAAAGATGAAGTTGGGAAAGCTGAACAGCCTATAGTTTTCCATTTTAAAAAGTATATCTTACAGTTTGGACTTTCTGCTGTAAGTAGAAGTTTCAGTTAGGAACTACCAAAATGAGATTGAACTTGTTCTATCACAAAACCCTTTTTTGAAAGGTTCTTCTGTAAAACTGACTTTCACAATGCTGAGAAAAGCTGCCACATGAAATTGGAAAGACCTTTAAACTTTATATGCTGACAGTTTTGAACTGGCTTAGCATGGAGTAGAAGCAAATTTATGTCAAATTTCAGATGATGTCATCCAATCTAATATTGCTGTCATTTATTCCAATACTTTGAAGTAAGTTTTAAAGGAAGTGGAAACTATCCCATTTCCTTCCAGAATGCAACTTGATGAAACTACTGATTTGCTCTAAACACTTGGTTCCTAGTTTTTGTCTGTTAATAAGCTTGTTGACACAGTCAAAAAAAAATCTCAAATAT